AAATTTGAGGGCCCCCTTAACTTTGCCAGGGAGGGAGGGACCACTGAAACTCTTGCAAACGCTGGAAAATGCGTTTGATACTGCGTTGCATTTTAAAGAAGAGCAATATCGATTGTCTTTCTCAAGGATAGCTTCATCTTCATCGCAGCCTGTGGCCTCATCTTCATCACAGCCTTTGACCTCTTCATCGCTGCACATGGCCTCCTCTTCAGCACAGCCTGTGGCCTCTTCTTCATCACAGCCCTTGACCTCTTCAGCAGTGCCTGATGCGATAGAATCTACTGTATCACCGCAAAAATCTTCTTCACCACCGCAGATGGTTCCTTTTTCAATGGAGCATGCGAGTGTGATGCTTTCTGGTAGGCAGATAGGGAGATGTTTATATTCACTTTTCCAATATATTTAAAAAATAAATATCAATTAGTGTTTGTTTTATTGCAGTCAGCAGTTGTAACCGGTTGCTGTATAAAGCTATACTCAGAGGCGACTTGAAAGATGTAAGAAGAGACTGTGACGAGTATTTACCTCGGTTACAAGCCAAAATCACGGTAAACTCAGACACAGCACTTCACGTAGCAGTAGGAACGGGCACGGGGAATCATATCGTTGAGTATCTGTTGACTAAGATGTCAGAAGATCAACTGACCCGGACAAATATAAAGGGCAACACGGCGCTTTCTATTGCTGCAATTGTTGGTAATTGTGAAGCAGCCAAGAAGATAGTGGAGAGACAGCGAGCGTCAACTGAAATAAAAAACGAATATGGCCATATACCTTTGATTGAGGCTGCTAGACATGGCCATAGGAAAATGATTGAGTATTTATTGCAATTCACGGATAGGAATTTGCTGTATTTCGAACCACAGAGAGATAAGCCAGATGTTTCGTTCGTGCATTTGCTAATAACTGCTGGATTTTATGGTGAGATAATTCTTCCTTTAGCCACTATTGCTAAAAGAACTACCGATTACAGATTAATTAGTTCCATTTAATTTTTAGTGAGATAGCTGACACTTTTGAAACCAATTTCCAGGTTTCAATTAGTTACATATGTCGGTGATGCATCAAGTCAATGGTCAATTATAAACTTGTTCCGCATATAGTTCAGTTTTATTAATGCATAAGTTTAGCTAAGTTTCTTTATGTTAAAATTGGAAATTGATTCTAAATTCCTGTCCATCTTATGTCTTAGACTTGGCCCTGAAGGAGGTTGAAAAAGATCGCCGATTAGCTTTAGGGGAGTTATATCCTGGTGAGACTCTTCTAAGTGCAATAGCTAGAAAGCCGTCTGCATTTCCAAGAGAAAGAAAGCTAATTTTTGTGGAGAAAGCCATCTACATGTATAAGCGTGAGTATAATTAACACAAATCTCAAACAATTCTTAATATCTCTTCTATTTTTATCTCATGCTCCCTTCGTAACCATTATTCAACCTCCCAAATGCAAAGTACCAATTCTTCACGAGAAAATCTAGACTACCACATAGGTCCCAACTCAGCAATCTGAGTTGGTACCAGGAATCAATTATATATTGACATTTGTCAAATATTATTAAAACTTTATTATTCTAATTTTATAAAAAAACCTACCTAGTCACTTCCTCACCATTGGCTTCCGTATTCTTCATCGTTGCAATCTCCATCCCCACCACTGCCTCAGCCTCCTTTTCCGATCACCAATTCCTCCACTACCTGAGCCACCCTTTTCCGATTAACCCAGCCTAAACATCCCCATGTTACGATTAAGTTTTCTCTGGAGAAACAAACATAAATCCAATCAAAAGGTGAAAACTTTCATGATAAATGTATCAGGTTTTAAACTTATGCCGTTACCTCCTCCACCTCCAACTTTGCCATCGCCTCAGCCTCCTTTTCTTGATAACCACTTCCACAAATCATACAACAAATCTTGTCTTTTCTACTGTAATACAAATGAAAAGAAATTTTCTACCATTTGTTTGGTTGATTTAGAAACAGATGTGTAGCTTTTCCAGTCAAACCATCTCAACCATTTCCAATCTACTTTTCCTTTCTTTAGCTTTTCACCGGCGAAGCAATAAAAAAACATTTGCCACCGTCTGACCGCACTTTCTTTTATTTTAGCTGGGTCCTCCGCTTTATGTCAGTTTAATCCTTTCTTTTATGCCTTGCATTTATTTGGTCCTCCGTTTTATTTTTAATTTTAAAAAAAGTTTTTTAATGTCATTTTATCATTGGTTGGTGGTACCAACTCAGCAATCTGAGTTGGTATCTCCATGGTAGTCTAGATTTTTTCAGCTCTTCAAATCATCTATACAATTACTGTAATAACTATATTGACCTCATTTGTATAAAACCTTATTTACTAATTTCCCTAACGTCACACTCCTTTCTCTTTCAGAAGCTTTTTCACCCTTCTTTTTTCTTCACAAAATCCATCGATGAATCCAAGCATCACATAACTGAAATTCAGTAATCGAAGGGTAGCTTCACTCGTTCTACAAACCCAATCATTGAAGACTTGAGATGTTAGATATTTTAAACTCAAAACTTTGTTGAGATTCTTTTTTTTGTAAAAAATTGAAACTCCTAACATAGATTACCAATGTTGATGATGCTTGCTTATGAAGTTCCTCAAATCAAAGAGATTTTATTGTGAGCTTTTCTATATATTCATAGACAAAAAATCATATTCTAACGTATCCATCACCAAATTAACATCATCAACATTGGTAATCTAGCCTAGGAATTTAAAATTTAGTTATAACAAAAACAGGATCTCAACGAAGTTTTTAGTTCAAAATATCTAATATCTCAAATCTTTGATAGTTGGGTTTGTACGAAGAGTGTGAAGCTAGCCTTGAATAACTAGATTTTTAGATATCTGATTCTTAGATTCTTCAATGGAGTTTGTGAAAGAGAAAGGAGTGATATTTTTTTCACTATCAGTGGCGGAGCTATAGCTGCAAAGTTTTTTAAATTTTATGTAGAATATTATCAAGTTTGTCCCGTAAATTCAGATATTTCTTAACCACCCCAGTGTTTTTAACATCATATTTTGGCCCTCATATGCGTAACTTTTGCGTTTCTCTAACCCCTTTGTTCATTGAACATTATTTTTCGGGCCCCCAGTAACAATTTTCTGTCTCGGCCCCTTTCCCCTGTTATTAGTCTCAGCTCATGACCTATATTTCAAGCACATATAACCAGGTTAATTTGGAAAATATCACTATTATTAATTGTTGCTCGATAGAACAGTCTTCGTCAAAATGAAGATATTTACAAGTTTTCATAAACAAGTTCAATTTTACAGTTTTACTATGTGTATTAACTAGTTTACAATTCGTAACCAATCAAGATTACTAATTTAATATTGACATTTTTAAGGTACTTCTTATAAATTAGAGTTCCTGATCGTGCACCACATCGGAAGCTGCATCGTGAAGAAAATGTCACGCATCCAAGGCTGCATCAAAAAGACGACGCAATGCATCCGAAGTTGCATTGGAAAGACGATGCCATGCAATCAAAGCTGCATCGGAAAGACGATGCCATGCATCCGAAGTTGCATTGGAAAGACGATGCCATGCAATCAAAGCTGCATCGGAAAGACGATGCCCAATCGAAGCTATATCAAAACGATGAGTTCATGCATCAAAAAAAGGACTTCATTCATCATTGGAATCACTGCAGTTATTATTGGAATCATGATACGGTGCATCGAACCCATGATATCAGGCATCAAACACATGAGATCAGGAATCCCATGGCTATCACGCGTCTGGTTGATCAGTAAGTGTTCAACCCTAATATCTATCTAAATCTAATAAGATAGGTTTGATTAAAATTGATTTGATTGATTGATTGATTTAAATATAATTAATCTAAATGATTTTAAATAATCATTTAATTTCTATGTTGTCAATGATAATATCTACATCTAGCAAGATTTGTGTGATTACTTTTTGATTAATTTAATTGAAAATTATGATGATTCTACCTAAACATTTTTAATTCTAAGGTCATTTTGAAGTATAATAGGTAAAGGCTATTGACTAGGTATTAGGTTAAGTGAAATTTTTTTCATGAACTCTAAGACCACCCATGTAATACGGCTCAATTCTTAGTCAACTTACTAGCCTCAAATTAGACTAAACAACATATTGCCACCCAAGGTTGAGCGAAACCCCAAAGTAATACCCTTGTTTCATTTATTCCAAATACTTACCCTTAAATTAACACCATTGCCTTTATTTTAACGGTGAAGGGGCAAATTAGACTTTCTCTTTCTGTTTTTCTTTTTCCTCTTCCCTTCCCATTTCTTCCCCAGTACGCCTCCTCCTCCCATCTTCTTCCTCTTCCCTTTCCCTTTCTTCCTTATCTCCGCTTCCTCCTCCCATCTTCTTCTTTTTCCTTCCACACCTCCTCCTCCCCGGCGCCTCACCATCCCAACCCACTACCCCCTTGACCGCCTTGACTCCCCTTTTCGCCGTCACCCTTCATCTCAAGTGTTGCACTCCGCCAACTTCTTTCTAGCAGCCCCATCATCACAAATCTTCATCAAGCCCACCATTTAACTCATCAAAGAGCCCTCTCCAATAACCCATGCTTTGCGTCCCTGATTTCTCACCTTTCAACGCCGATTTAAGCCCCCATTCCCTAGGGTTTCTTTTTTCTTTTTTTTTTTGGCTTTTGCTTTTGTATTTTGTTTTTTTGTTTTTCTTATTGAAATGGTGTGATTTTTGGTGGTTGCTATTGGGTTTGGAATGTGGTGATTTGGCCAACTGTGGTGATGTTTTGGACGCTATGGTGGTTTTGGGATGGGGTAGTTTGGAATGGGATGTGGTGGTGGTGATTTGGTTGGTTGTGTGATTTGGAAGGGGGTAGTTTGGATGGCTATGGTGGCGATCTGGCATGGGTTGGTTTGGGTGGGTTGGTTTGGAATGGGATGTGGTGGTGGTGGTTTGGCCGGCTATGGGATTTGGGATGGGGTAGTTTGGATGGCTATGGTGGTGGTCTGGGATGGGTTGTGGTGGTGGTTTGGCTGGTTATGGTAGTGCTGTGGTGGTTTGGAATGGGGTGAAGGGCAGTTTGGTAATAGCATCCGTCAAAACCCAACCGGCACTAACTGTGTTAATTTGTGTTAATTTAAGGGTGAGTATTTAGAATAAATGAAGGTTTTAGCTAAACCTTGGTGGGAATATGCCGTTTACTCCCTCAAATTATCACTTAGGGGACTGAAAAAAGTACCACAAATTTAAAAATACATTAAAATGCTCCAAAATAGTTAATATTAACTTTAGAAAAAAAAATTAAAAGTCACAACTAGGGGTGTGCAAGAATTTTGGGACGTAGAGTCGGAATTGATACTGTACAAGTGGTTCCGGTTCCAAATTTAATGAACCAGTATTGTGCGGGTCTGGTTTCAGTTTCACTATTTTAAGGAATCGAAATCTATCCGAGAGAACTAGGACCGGAACTGATAATAGGATATCTGGTTTGGAACTGGCTGATTTCACTCCACCGACATGATTCCACAGCAAATACACTACTCACGTTATTTCACACTGACTGCTTGTGCTCTGTTTTTTTTTTTTTTTTTTTTTTTAAATTTTGTAAAGAGAAGAAGCAAAGGAAAGAGAAAGAAGAGTGAAAAAGAAAAGAAAGAGATGGAACACAGAAATGATAAAAGAAAAGAGAGGGCAGTGAGAAAGTCATCGCCGGTCACTGAGTGCGTAGTTGTTAGCGGTTTTCTCTATCTTTGTCTTTGTGAAGGGAAGTGAGAAAAGGGCAGAAATGAAGAGAAACGAGAGAAAAAAAGGAAGAAAAAGAGAGATAAATAAATTAATTCTTTTATTCCGAAAAGACCCTATTGCCCATATATTTAGGGTTTAAGATATTTTTTCCCTTCTCCTTTCTCTTTCTCCTTCACCTCCTCTCGCCTCCTCCCTTCTCCTTCTCCGTCCCTCTCTCTTCACCTCTTTCTCCTCCACCTCTTCTCGTTCTCCTTATCTCTCCTCCTTTTCCCTCCTCTCAAAGCACAATTCGATTTCTTCTCCTCCTCCTTCTCACAGCACAAAAAAGGGGAAAAAAAAAAAAAAAAAAAAAAAACTACAAGCAACACCAGATCTTGGCAACCAGATTTAGCCGCCAAGTCTGCTTGTTGGCAACTGCAATTGGCCGGATTCGACCAACTCGCGGCGCCCGACAAACTTATCTATTAAGCTTCTTTGTTTTTTTCGTTTTTCTTATATTTATTTATTTTTTAATTCAAGTGAAGTATGAGCAGTATTAACTGATAGTCGATTATATATATAACAAATTTAACTTTAGCTTCATTTCAACAAATACTAATTTAATTTGTTTTTCCATATGACAAACCGAATACTTCAGACGTTACAATTAAAGCTGTGGAAGATATTTCTTTGAAATTACTAAATTTAAGTCAATAGTTATATCATTGTTAATTTTTTTTATTTGCTGTTCTAGTTTACGAAAGACTTATTGGAGAGAATAAAAGGAAGCATCAACAAAAAATTAGACTTGCCAAAGCCTTGTGCAAGAATATTGAAGCATCTATGTATAACAGGAGATGGAGATCAAATGGCTTGGAAATGGATACCTCAATTCTAAAACGACCTCTCCTCTTAGCGGCAGGATTAGGGGTTCACGAAGTAGTGGAAGAGATTATAAAATCATCTCCTGATGCAGTCTTGTTTTTAAATGAAAAGAATCATAATGCATTCCATTTAGCGATCATTAATCGTCATGAAGGGGTATTCAACATCATTTCCGAAATGAGTTGCCACAAACATTTGTTGTTGATGTTTGACAATGACTTTGGGAACAATATCTTGCACTTGGCTGGAAAACTGGCACCTCCATATCAACTCAGTCGCATCCCTGGCGCAGCTTTGCAGATGCAACGTGAGTTACAGTGGTTTAAGGTATTAAGAATTTTGACATAAACATTATATATGTTTTGTGATTTTAGGCTAAAAAGGAAATTTGCTTTCGAAGTGCAGTCTTTCATATTTTCTCTTTAGTTTTATAATTATCGATTATATTTTGTGCAGCAAGTAGAGAAAATTGCATTGCCTAAATTTACAGAAGATACAAATTCAGATGAAAAAACTCCAGCTATGGTATTTGCTGAGGAACATCAGAGTCTTGTTAAAGAAGGTGAAAAATGGATGAAAGATGCAGCCACCTCTTGCTCAGTAGCAACGGCTCTAATTGCTACTGTAGTATTTGCAGCAGCGATTACCGTACCTGGTGGCAACAACAATGCTGGCCAACCAAATTTTTACAAAGAAAAGGCCTTCACTATTTTTAGCATTGCCGATGCAATCTCTTTATTCTCGTCCATAGCCGCCATCTTCATGTTCTTGTCCATCCTCACTGCACGCTATGCAGAAGCTGATTTTCTTTATGCTCTACCCAAAAGGTTAATATTGGGTCTGTTTATGTTGTTCCTGTCTGTTACAGCAATGATGGTGACCTTTGGATCCACTGTTTACCTGGTGTTTTGTGAAAAAAAGGAAATCTGGGTATCTGCTTTACTAATTGGATCAGCTGCCTTGCCGGTGTCCGTATTTGCATATTCACAATTTCCCCTCCTGGTGGACTTGATCATCTCCACATATGGCCCCAGCATTTTTCGCAAGTAAAGCACAGGTGTCTTCTACAAGGAAATTGAGTAGATCATAGAAATGAATTCTGTTACATACCATCTAAGTAATGGGACATTCTGGATTTCAGAATTTTTTTTTCTTAATTTAACAATATTGCAATCAACTTTGTTACTCACCAGAAAAAAGATTCTTGAGGTTGTTGACTCACTTTTTCTAATAAAAAAATCTGCCGGAATTTCCATCTGTGGCGTCCAGCCAACAGAAACCAAACCTCCGAGATAAGTTATAGCTCTAATTCCAGGAGGTAGAGCTTCAAAATCTTCAGTAGCCCAATTGGGTTTCCCGAGTGCCCATAAAAATGAAACCTGAGAGAGCGCTAACCCACAAGCTATCTCATGAACTTGCTTTTTTGCTTAGTTTACATGCACTAACGAACCCTACAAATAGAACTAACTTATGCTTTTGTTTGGCAAATGCCGAACCAGTCGCAAAACTAATCCTAAATACCATAGTTAACAGTAAGCATGGTCGAATCCATAGAGAGCAATTACTAGTAATCTAGTGTAAATTTGAGTAACGATAATGAATTTGGCAAATTAATTAAACTAAATGCAAATAATAAAAACTTGAAATTGAAACTAATGAAGACTTTATAATAAAAACATTACGTTTATGGTTTTGGTTCGACATACGACCAACTCTCACAATTCTCCTCCACACTCTACGATCCCCTAAACCTACAAGGCAAAGTAAATCAATGAAATAGCTCTCTAACACTCTAGGTATAATTTATCATATCTCACCCGATTACTCAAGTTCGATTGATTAAAGACTATCATCGAATATCAACAAACACTACAAGACAATACCACTAGTTGATACGCGATTAACAAATACAATTTGTCAACACATATCATCCAATCAATCAACTACATAATAAATGCAACACAAGTAGAAATGACATTAAATGCGAATATAACTCGATTACAATCGATGTGAAGTAATTTAAAGCAATACTCAACATTTAATTATCTTAAACCAACATTTATCATGCTAAAGGTTTTATATCAACAACTGATCTCAATGGACAACATCAATAATCACAAATCATACATCAAACTACATTAAAGGATCATAATCAATCATGAAACGAAAAAAATATAGTTCGATACACAATACTACCGAATGTCCAACAATCATGCTCATCAAACTAGTCGAGGGCCGTTGAGGTGAATCATGGATGTCGATCTCAATCTCGCCTATACCGTAATAGACAACCAGAAGCTCAGTCGCTCATGGTGGTGTTGACGGAGGCTGGAGTGGTGGAAACGAAGCTAGTCATGGCGAAGAGCAAATGACCGGCAACTGGAAGATGTGATGAGGAGGTGAAAAAGACCAATAGAACTCCTGGCAGATGAACAGACATAACTCGCCAGAATACGACGGTGGCTCACAACGGTGACTGGCGAAAAGGAGATCCAAGGGCATGGGAAGATATATCAAGTGATGGAGATGATGGATCTTCTAGTTGGAAGGTTGGAGGTCGTCTAAAAATGCACGAAAAACAATGAGGAAGTTGAACGGTCATGACGATGATTTGTTGAGCTTGGAGGAAGATGAATCTGAGTGTGGTGAAGGTAGATCAGCCACCAGGGAAGTGAGAGGCCATTGAAAAACAGGAGAAAAGCCGCTAGAAGTTGCAATGTCGCCGGTGAGGGGAGGTGAAGTGTAGCGCAACAACGGGGGGTGATGGATGGTGGAGATCGATGCAAGGGAGAGCTGTGGAGTTGTTAGAAATGGGAGGGGAAGGGTCGTCGGCGATGGAACTGTGGTTTGGGGTGAGCGGCGCTGCTAGAATGCGACCCTTCACTTCCTTTTTATTCAAAAGGTCAAAAATTTTCATTTGGTCCCTACATGATTGAAAAGTGACAAAATCAATCCCCTAAAAATATGATCGTTTACCCCCTAAACAGCATAAAATGAGACAAAATCACCCCTAATCCATAAACCACAACCTAATATCAACTCATACCATTTTCAAAACTTGTTAAATTCATAAGAAAACATTAGACTGCGATTCATAAATTTCTTAATTGCCTCAATATGATTTCATTTTAATCGCACATAGGGTCTTTTATCACCAAAATATTGTTACTTTCATGGCTCTAACACACTCCTTAACCTACTCTTTGCTCGTCCTCGAGTAAAGTAAAAGAAACTTTTTCAACATTTTCGTGTAATCTGACCTTGCGATTTGGGCGATCTGGCCACTCGATCTGAGAGCTCTAATTCATGCGATCTATGATCTGACCAGGCGATCTAAGCGATCTGAGTGTGTGATCTGCGATCTAACCATGCGATCTGAGAGTTTTAATGTGTGTGATCTATGATCTAACCATGCGATCCGAGAACTCTAATGCTTGTGATCTGCGATCTGACCATGCGATCGGAGAGCTCTGATGTGTACGATCTTCGATTTGACCATGTTATCTGAAAGATCTAATGAGTGCAATCTGCGATCTGAGAACTCTGATCTAGAATAGGCTTCAATATTTTGACAATAACTTGAGTTGTAGACCTCAAATTTGGATGATTCTTTGACCATTGGAAAGCTAACTCGAAGGGCTACAACTCTTGTGTTTATTGCTTTGCTAGATTCGGACTTTATCTTGCTCAAATTTTCACATCTAATGACGTGAAGATTTCGAGGCTTGCTGGAAAAACATGGAGAGGTGATGTGAATCATGCCCTCCTTCTAGTGCCAAATTGTCGATACGTGATTTTGATACCAACGACTTGCATGTGCAAAGTGCTAAGCTGTTTTTAGAAATTACACGTGAATGATTCATGTTTATGGTGTTGAGATGATATATATTTGATGAAACATAAATAAAAGATGGATAAGAGAGGTTTTTATAGTGGTTCGGATACTTAAAGTAAATCCTACATCTACTGTTATTTTATTATTCTCTAACTATTTCTATGACATTGCCTATAAGGTGTATAAGGAATGGAGAAATATTTTATTTACAGAGAAAAATAATGAAATAAAGTTCAAATCTATGCCCTGTTCTCATATGTCTAATCTCCATTTTCATGAAGAGAGGTGCGCATTTATACCTTTGAGGTCAAGGTGATGAGTGCTTGTACAAGTTGCCTTGATATGTGAGGACCACTCCTTAGTCCTTATCTTAAAATGGGATATGATTGATATAAAATATCTCTTGGAGGCGGTTTGAGTTTTTAATAGCTAATACCACTCTTTAAGTGCTTGTTGAACTCTGATTGGTAGTGTTGACATCAATGTGTATTTTTTGCACAACAACTAAGATGTTAGACTGTCAAATGAGACTGAAAAATAACGAGGGCCACACGGTCCTTTCAATCGCTGCAATTGTTGGCAATGTCCAAGTTGCCAAGAAAATAATGGAGAAACAGCCCGACTTAAATGAAGTTTAAAACAACAGCTGTTGGATACCTTTGATGGAGGCTGCTTGACATGCCCAAAAGGGGATGGTTAAATATTTATTGCAATTTAGCGAACCCTATTGCGGTCAGTTCGAAATTCTGAAGATAAAGACGGTGTTTTCTTCGTGAATTTGCTTATAATTGCTGGATTTTATGGTGAGTTAGTCTCTTCTTTAGCTTTACTACTACTGATCAATAACCAATATTTACAAATTTCACTTATCTCAGTAACTGTGTTAGCTAGTAATGTTTATTCATTGGGTTATTGACACTTACACTCCCTCAAAGTATTAATAAGCTTGCTGTCTCTTCTTGCCGTTAAAATTGTTAGAACACCAAGTATGATCACTGTAATTACAAATTTGTCCATGATTTATTCGTCAAGATAAAAATGTTATTTGAATGGTTCGAACCAGTGACCTCAATTTATAAAAGGAAATGACTAACCACTTTACCAAATTATGTCAACGAAAGTCTGACTACACAAATTAGCCTAATAAGAGACAAAAAAATAATTAAAATATACTCTATAGTGTATATAACATATTTAAAATTTGTGCTACAATGTAGTTAATATATACGTTAAAGTATATTGAAAATTTATGTTAAATTATATTAAACATTTTCTCAAAGTTTATTGAATATTACAAACTTTGGATGACGCAGTTTGTAAGATTGATCCACAATCAATCTAATAAACTTTTGTTCACAACTCTGACATAATAACTTGCAATTAGTCAATTCCCCATCTTAGTTATATATAGCATATATTTGATCTTGGATGAGCCGGCAGCTCCACGGCTATATTGTTGAGGTCATTGACCATAAAGGGCATTTATTATGTGGGTCTAAGTCACCTTGAAATTCATTTTGGAAGACTTTAGACTCCGTTTGTTACACTCTTGAGAATACTATTATTAGTATTCTCAATAAAGTTAAACAATAAAATTAATTTATTCTCAAAATATTATTCTATATTATTTAATTTCTTTTAAACCCTCCTAAATTTGTTAATTTAACTAAATAAACCCAAATATTTTTTTTAGAAATTGCAAAAACACCCCAGCAACCCATATTTACCAGATTCCGGCCACCACTCCTGGAGGCTGGCCGAAATGTGGTATAATGGCACACTACCGACTAAATCTGGCTGGTAGTGTGCCGATCTAGCCTTTTCTAGCTAGATCTATAGCCAAAGATCTGGCCGTAGCCAGTTGTCAACGATAGCCATATCTTTGGCCGTGGTTGACGACCAAATGCGGCCAGATCTGACCGTCAATGGCTAGATCTAGTCGTAGATCTGACATTTTTCGGCCAGATCAAAAGGTGGATCTGGTCGGAAAATGCCATATCGACACACGATCGACAAGATCCAGTCAATTATACGCCGATACGGTGACTTCGGCCACCCTCCGGTGGTGGTGGCCTGCTGTCCATATTTAATGGGTGGGTTGGGAGTGTTTTTGTTAACTTTTAATATTTTATTATAGGGGTGTTTAGTAAATAAACAAATATATGGGGTATTTTTGTTAATTTCTAAATTATATATCATAATACCTGCCCAATTT